GCTGCAACGACAACAAACACAGGGACTGCACCGACAACAAGCACAAGAGCTGCAATGACAACAATAACATACACAATAGCAAACTCTTCACAAACAATTGTCTCAATAACAAGTCCAGGTGATCCCATCGTCGGCTTATATAATACTTCAGCTGGTCAACCTACGGGTGCTTATAATGGCAGATATTCGGGTTCTGCTGAAAATCCCCCAAAAGCTATTGATGGTTTGTTAAGCACGAAATATCTTAATTTTGGAGCTCAAGGTTATTCTGGTGCCAGTCTAAATGATCCTGGAGTAAATACTGGTTTTTTTGTAACGCCGACAATAAGTACTGCTTCTGTGGCTGTTGCTCTTCTTTTTGCAACTGCAAATGATTTTCCAAATCGTGATCCACTTACAGTAACTCTCGAAGGAACAAATGCAACAGATGTTGAAGCACTCCATCTCGGCTCAAGTTGGACATTGATATACAGTGGTCCAACAGGTATTGATCGTGCAACGGCTCCTGCTCGTAATACATATATGCAACAACAAGGTTTCTTCAATACGATTCCTTTTAGAAGCTATCGACTATTTGTTACTTCGCAACGAGGTCGTGATAGTTGTGTTCAATACGCTGAAGCTCAAATCTTAGGTTATATTTGAAAAAACAAAAAAAGATATTACTAATTTGAAACTAACAGTTATATACTTTAAACTTTAAATGTATTCTCTCAAAACTTTCCCTAAAAATATGTATCCTTATCTATATCATGCATTCAGTATTTTAATTTTCTTTGAAAATTTGCCAAAAATAACCAAAATAAAACAAATATCTTTTCGAATTTTTTTAAAATTTCAAATATCAAGAAAAGAGGACGTGAGTATCGGCATTTTGTTGAAGAACAGAAGAACACCCACACACCCACAGCCACAGTGATACCTACAAATCCGCACTCAAGATTCTGTTTTTTCTATTGATAAATATATGAAACTAGCATAAAATAAAGATAATTTTTATTCAATTACTTCAAGTACTTTTCCAATAACAACAATATGATCTCCATTGTGTAATGTAAATCGATCGAATTGAGGAAAATATTGCAATTGTTCTATACAAATAAGTCGACCAGTTTGTGTTAATTAAAATCTTGCTATGGCTACGTGATCTTGTTTTATAAATTTTGGATCTTCTACACTTATTACATCAGAATTACAATTAATTAACGTTTCTAATTGAACTTCAGCAGTAGCAGAAGTATGAATCTGAAGAGTAGCTTTGTAATCTAGTTATATAATTGATTTATGTTCAAGTATAGCAATCTATTCTCAATATATATAGATACATTTTCTTTTAATCAAATGTATTTCTTGCACATCGACGATTCATCTAAATTTACATAGTTCATATTGAACATCGCATAGAATAGACTTAAGTGAGATTTCTTGAAAAATTTTTGATGAAATAGTAAAAAAGGCTTACATTTTGTTCAACATCCTTTAATTCAAGTTTAACATACTATCCACAAAAATCAGAGTCATCGTCGATGTGTCTATGATAAATATTTATACTTGCAGTATGTTTTCAATTAGGCATAATTATGCATTGATCACAAACACGACAATACCCAAATTCAATTTTACCAGTAATGTTTGTACTTATTTGCTAGAACGAATATTTAATTTTATGTTCAATGATAATGAAAAACAAATTGGATATACTTCAGCAATTGATAATCGAAATGAACTATTAATTTTAATATTAGATGCCTGTGTATCAATAAAACTTTTGTCAAAATAAGATCTTCAAAAGCACAAGAATTTAAAAGTATGAATCTTTTTTTTCTATGAAACTAACGTTAAAATCTCGTTTCTGTGATATTAAATATTAACTCTAGTTATATGTAATAGCAAGTCAATCAATTAACAAATAGTTAATTCAGATTGACTAGGAAATTTTTTAATAATATTATATATAAATGCTCATGCTTGATAATCAAGTTTTAATTTTTATATATTTCAGTGTACTTTAAATAAATAGATGGATTGTATGATGTTTTCAAATCAATTTTTTTTTGGATCTCTTGTTTTCGTTGATTCCTTGATTCGAATAACAACTTTTATATGATCGACGACCAACGATAAAAGATGTGCCCTAATATCTATGATTATTTGTTCAGCTAATTGTTTTCAAAAAATATTTCTAATACAATAAATTTAAATATAAGAAACAATTCACTCACTCTAAACTATCGATTTCTAATTGAAGACTTCTTATTTCATGATTCAATTTTTTCTCCATTTTGATACGTTTATTCTTCAATAAAGGTTATCTCTGTCCAAATTCATCAGCTCTTCGCTTCACATAATTCTACTTCTCTTTCATCTTACATAATATAGATTTCATATCATGTAATTCTTTCTAGATGAAAAAAAAAGTCCGACAATAGAAGAATGTTTTCAGTTTTACTTTTATCATGATTTTTTTTCTTCGTTTGGGTTTTGTTGAAAGATGTTCATTATACCCATAAAATGTAATGATAGTTTAGGAGATTTATAACAATTTTTCATTAATCTATTTATCAAATTATATAGTTTATTGATTAGAATATCTAAATGAGGGTGTGGGGGTATGTGGGGTACAGGTGTGAGGGTGTGGGGGTATGTGGGGTACAGGTGTGAGGGTGTGGGGGTGTGGGGGTATGTGAGGTACAGGTGTGAGGGTGTGGGGGTATGTGGGGTACAGGTGTGAGGGTGTGGGGGTATGTGGGGTACAGGTGTGAGTGTGTGGATCTCGATGTAATACTCGTGTCTTACCGCACCCACACCAACATCCACACCCTCCATTGATTATCTGCAACCGTACACTGCCCAAACCCACATCTCACACCGACACTTACAACCACACCTCACTCACTTCCACGCCTACGTCCACCCGTATATCCACCCCCACACCCACATATAAACAAAGAAATAAATAGTCTCATAGTTAAATATGAAATTCTAAATTAACTGTCTTTTCGAGCACATCGTATAACTTTCGGATTCGTTTTCTCAAATGATTAGAGAATTATTTTTTAACTAATTAATTTGAATTAATTGTCAACTGAACTCTACAAATTCTCATATACACTATAAAATAAATAGACGAATGGTGTATCACATTTCATCATATGACATCAGAGATGTCCATCGCGGCACTGGCAGGATTTTTTGAAAGACATTGAAAAACTACATGAATTTGATAGAATTTCAGGATTTACAAATGAAATATCCCGAGACTGAATGAATCTGATGGACTAGTACCAATATCTCTGGTCAAATATAGTCACAGCAGTAAAATTAGAAACACTTTTTTGAAAACCACCGCGGTGTAGCAACTTTTTTTCTAAGGCCGCAACGCGCCAGCAGCAGATTTTCAGCCGCAATGAACATCTCTGCATGGCATATTAGATGAATAAGAAAAAAAAATATTCATTCATTCTTTCAATTCATTATCAATTTTGACGATAGAAAAATTGTATTGTTGTGTTTGTATTGATGACATCGGTCAAATAGAACGGATGATTAGTGTAGATATATAAATATTGACTTTTCATAAGTTGCAAAAAATAGATAAGGTAAAGTAAACCTGATCAACTCATGTATTGAATTAAATGATTTACCTAATGAAATTCTTATGATGATTTTCAAAAAACTCAACAATCTTGATATACTTTATTCTTTCCATGGTGTCAATGAGCGATTAAATAGAATTATTCAAGATCCAATTTTTACAAATCATTTAACTTTTGTCAAACGGCCATTAGATAAATTTATTGGATTATTATCTTGTAATATGATACTTAATCGATTTTGTTTTCAAATTTCACCTGAAATTCATAATAAAATCAAATAGCTTGATCTTGAATCATCATCTATGAAGCATGTTTTACGTGCTGCTCATTATCCGAATTTAGATAGTCTTGCTCTTTATAATATTGATGAAGAATCAATTCGAGGTCTTTTTACTGATAAGTAATTTTGAATTGAATTCTTTCTATCTTTAAACAAGTCAAAATTATTCATATAGATAACTAAATTGTTGTAATATATATATATTGTCTTTATAGACTTTTCTTCTTATTATATACATATATTTAGATGAAACTCTTTCATCTGGTATTTTCAAAAAATCAAATTACAACACTTTTAATTACAATAAATAAAAATAGTGATTATTTAGAAATGTCATCATCGGTGGTTAATATATATGATTATATTTTCAGTGTTTTTACCTATCTGATTGTTGTAGAATTATATGAATCATCATATAAAGATTGTGTTTGGTTATATTTTGAGGATTCATTACATCCTAATATTTGTTCTTCAACTCTTTTGAAATTGAATATCAAACTAGAATGTTTTAGTGATTGTCCTTATCTTCTTGATGGTCGTTTTAATCAACTTCATACATTCGATGTTGATTTGGTTAATATTCGTCGTCCACATAACCCTGATCTATATGAAATGGCAAATTAAGTTAGTTTTACAAAAAAAGAATCTCTATACTCTCAAATAACAAAAGAAATCCTTGTTTTTTAGGATGATTTACCAAATCTAAAGTCTTATTTCTTTGTCTTGTAATTATAGAACATATGATTATAATGAATTAATTCCACCACTTCTCTATCGAATGTCAAATCAAGAAAAACTTAGTTTGTATCTTCTAGTTTATGTCAATGAAACATTTATTGATGGAAATCATTTGAAGAGAAACATTATTAATCGTATGCCAAGATTAAATCAATTCACATTTTATATTCGTTCATCTATTTATGCTGATAATGTATTCAATTTGCCATCGACACAAGATATTCAACGCACATTCATTGACTTTCGAAATAATGAAATTATTTCTTATGTTAATTATTTTTCAGAAGCAAAAGAAGGTCAATGTCATAATATATTCATATCCACCTGTAATGAATTATTATGGTAATATTACGAATTATTTTTCATGTGGATTATTTAAATATGTTCGTGTAGTGTCATTATATGATGAATATCCATTTGAACATGAAATTTTTCTTCGAATTGTTCAATCATTTCCATTTATGGAACAATTAACTATGATTAATCATGCATGACAAAACAAAAAACAATCTTATGAATCAAATAATAATAATAATAATAATAATCGAAACATCTATTATTGAATATTCTTTTCTCAATGTACTTGATATTATGAATGTTCATGATGATTACATAGAAGAATTTCTATTTAATACTAAAACATATTTTCAAAATAGTGTTTATCTTCAAATTAATTATGAATCTTTAAAACGAGTAACACACAATTTTGCAAGAGATGCTACATGAATTAATTGTACGAAAATTAATAAATTATATGTACACAGTGAATCAAAACGTTCGAATTCTTTGCAAGAATATTTTCCTTATGCGAAAATATGTTAGGAATATTTTAAAAGATGAAAAAAAAAATTATTTCAATAAAGAATAATAGAAAAAAAAAACAATAGAAGATAATTCTCTTATATATTTTGTTCTAAGAAAAGAAAATCTTTTGAAAGATGAAAATGATTATGTGTAAAATAAGTGGTACTCTTTGGAATAGATTAATTTGTGTATAATGTATTGGGTTGGTAGATAAGTTGTGCAAGCTTTGGTTTTGTTTATTAGTAAATATATTTTGACGAGAGAGATACATCTAATATCAATAAAAAATATTATTGCTATTATTTCCCACAACACTAGTTTATCTTGCTAGCTATTATTCGATCTCAGATTTCTAGAAACTGGCTGATTCTGATTTGAAAAAAAAATGGAGGCAAACTCGTAATCAAAATTATCGAAGTTTTCGTAGTCTTTCTCACATATATATTGTTTTGAAGAAATCGAAACAAATGATACTCCGATGACTAGAGCCCGTGTGTAGGAACTTCGCATTTCAATCGTTCAATTTTTTTGTTGAGTTAACTTTGGAATGTGTTGTCATTCATTGTTATGAATGAGAATGACGTCTATTCGGTTCATCAAAACTGGTTGGGTGTGAGCGACACTAAAGAGAACGCCCACACTCTGATCATGAAAGGAGTGGCCACAATCCGACTCACATCACATCGCAGCTCGTGCAGGTGCAGCGAAAGGACAGGCCACGAAAAGAACTGGCGGCGAAAGAAGTTGCCACAATACGACACACATCACATCGCAATTGGTGCGGGTACCGCGAAAGGACCGGCCACGAAAGGGCTGATGGCGAAAGGAGTCGCCGCAATGCGACACACATCACATCGCAGCTGGTACGGGTGCCGCGAAAGGAGTGCCCGGGAAAGGACTGATCGCGAGAGAAGTCTCCGCGAAAGGGCTGCCTCAGTGGCGTAGCCAGGATTTGGGGCTAGGGGGGAAATGGAAGGAAAAATGTCGAAAGGAGAAATGTAGAAGAAAAATGTAGAAAAGAAAATATAGAAAAGGAAAAATAGCGAATGAAAAAATATCGAAGAGAAAATAGCGAAGAGGAAAAATATCGAAAATTAAAATATCTACATAGGACATGATATATATATAAATTTGTGATAAGTTCTGTTGAGTAGATGAAAAATAACTATGAAATATAATAAATGCTTAGATTAAATGTCACTATTATGAAACTAGAAGGACAACACTACAATATGTGTTGAAATTAAAATAAAGTCATACGTGCTTCAACTTTAAGTACTTCAGTCAATGTTCCTTCAAAGTCTGACATAATAGTACATAGATTAAAACTGATATGTAATTGAGCAGCTTTATTATGTAATTCATGAAATAAATACTTATATGTAGGTTTTTCCATCAGGTACGAAAGCAAAAACACATACAAATGTTGTGAAAGAGAATAATACTTAAAAAATTTATTTAAGAAAAAAGCATATTCACATTGTTCAAATTTAATTGCATGTATGCAATATACTTGATCGAATATTGGAGGACTGATGAGGAGGTGTCATCGATCAAGATGACTGAACCATCAAATAATAATTTCAATTGCTCATTTGATGCAAACACCAATATTCGCGTTTTTCTTTTTATAATCTGATCAATACAAAGGAAATGTAAATTTTTCAATGTTTTTGTATAAGATTCTACTATATCAAATGATTGAGAATTAGGAATAAATGGTGTTTGGAGGCGACGTGCTTTATCTAATGTACTACCTGGAAAATATATGCTTTAAGTGAAAAAAAATAAAGGTTTTTTTCTAACCAAGTTGTCTCTGAGATGGTAAAACAGCAATTGATAATGTTGATAACCCGATGCGGGCTGCTTCTTTGTCATAAATTTGTGAAATGGGTATACTTTCACTTATAGCACGTGCTTTGACAGCTTGTTTGAATGTTCGAATTTGAATTTGTTCTGGTTAAGGTGGGTGACAATGATCACCTTTAATGTTCAAAATAATATCTTGAAGATCAGCACGTGCATTAACAGTACAATATGAATTTTCATATCGATAGTATTTTGTTGTACTCATTGTCTGATTCAATTTAAAAATGAAATTGTTTATATTAAATATTTTTTTTTCTTTTTGAGAAATGACAAAAGATATTTCATTAGAAAGAGTAGTCATCAAATCTAAAATAACTGAAAATCAATCCGTAGATCTTTAACTATTAACAGTCATCAATCGAAATTCCACCAATATAAGCATTATTAATGAAGTACCAAAGAAAAACAAATTAATTAATGAAGATTAATATTTATCTATTACATTCGTATATTTACATGTGCAATACTTAAAGAATAAATACTTTTAATGGTATGAATCAACCAAACAAATAGGAAATTTTTAACAAATGTCTTATAGCGACATCTTACGACTATTTATTCTTTTCTTTTCGACATTTTTCCTTTCGCTATTTTCTCATTCGATATTTTTCTCTTTCGATATTTTTCCTCATTTTCTTCTATATTTTTCCTTTCTTCCTTTTTCCATCATACCGAACAGACAAACAAACTTTTTTCTGTATACATATATATAGATAACTACAGTAAAACTTCTCTAATGTAAACACCGTCGGGACCAACCAAAAACGTTCAGATTAACAGGGCGATCACTTAAGAGGGTTCCAGCAAAAAGAAATCAATACATAAATTCCAGTACTTGTTACATCTTTTTGAGTGTTTTTTATTTGATTCACTAGATGTTTTACTATTTTCAAGAGGTTACATATTATTACATAGATCAAGTTAAACATCACATGAGATCCTGCTCAGACAGGTTTAAAAAAGTCACGAATCGACCGTTGTTTAGGAATGTTCGAGTCCAAATAGGCGTCAATAAGTTTTGACTGCAGTTGCATCACACATAAATGTATTCAGGTTGTTGAGTTATTGATAATAGATGCAAACGACGTACCATGTTCATTGCTTCAGTTAGTGATGGTGGTTATTCAGTTGTATCTTCATCATTAGCTGCATCTTCAAGAGTAACCACATTAACAGTTAACATCTTGTCACTTGCATCATCCAATTCGTTATAAGGTGGAACACCATCGTCTATGTTCTGAAACATTCAAAAATGACCATTAAAAATACAATTTAAAAAAGCCAAAATAATTATTAAAGGTGTGACGATTTCCGTTGTGAGAGATACCACTTAAAAGCTATTCTAAGTATATTTTATTGGTATCTCAAAAAACACACCTCGCTGTACTTTTCTCGTCCCTTGTATACTACTTCGTATATACAGGATAACCTTGAAAAATACGGAGGACACAATAACAGAAAAATATGAAAAGAACAAAGGTTAGAACATAATTATGGACCATACTAGGTACGAGGGAAGGACATACCAAGTATGCTATTCCAAAATACATAACTATCGAAAAAGGGTATTGTCATTATTTCTTTTATGGATATTATGTACGAAAGGCGAACATACCAAGCATGCCGTTCCAAAGTACAATTAGAGAACGGAAAAGGATATTGTAGTTAGAAAACAGAAAAAGATATTATGGTTAAAGAACAGAAGAGAATATTATGGTTAGAGGATATTGCGATTATTCCTTTTATGGATATGTATGAGAAGAGAATATGTCCTTCCAAAGTACACATGCAAAACGGAGAAGGATATTGTAGTTATTTCCCTTACGGATGACATTATGTACGAAAGAAGGACAAACTAATGGTATCATGGAAGGTTGGAGCATTACAAAAGGCTCACCACAAAATCATTAGCTGACATAACTGTACCACCAATACTTATATGTTTAAGCACTTGATCAAGATCTTCTATACATTTATTTTCGTTTACGACAACATCAATAGCATCAAGTTTTGGTGTTATCGATGTTGAATCATCAAGAACAAAATGTATTTCAAATCCTGTCATCTTGAATGTATTACGAATAGTGGCTTCAGTAATGGATCTCCAGGACTGGTCGATCCAATAGATTGCATCCAATGCTGTTATGTTTACATCATCAGCCGTATGAACAGCATTGGCATTTGCAATAATATGTTTGACAAGATAATGTCTGTAGTAAGCCTTGAATGTCCTGATAATTCCTTGATCCAAGGGTTGTATTTGAGCAGTTGAATTAGCCGGAAAAAACTTCAGAGTCACATTCTGAAGTTTTACATCAGATGAATGAACAGGTGCATTGTCCAAAAATAGTAATATATTGCGTTTTTGTTTTTGCATGATTAAATCAAGATCATATTACCATTCAGTAAATATTTTACTATTCATCCATGCCGTACGATTGCTGTACCATTTCACAGGTAATTTCGCCATATCTATATCCTTGACGCACCTTGGTCGTGCAGCTTTACCTAGAAAATAGCAAAAAAAGACGGCACGTAACAGAGAAATAGAGCGAGTAAATGATCACTCACCTATTACCACCGGTTTAAGTTTATCTGTACCAAGCCAGTTGGTACACAGCATCACTGTATATCTATCTCTTGATTTCTTCCCACCCTCGCAATCATTCTTATCAATAACCAAAGAACGATCAGGTATTAACTTGAAGAATAACCCTGTTTCATCGCAATTGTAAATGTTCACCGGGTTATAATGTTGAATAATGTTTGGCAAACGTATTTGCCAATTTTCAGTAGTAATTTTATCCACAGCTGCTGCTTCACCACATATAACCCTAAAATGAACATTGTGTCGAGTTCGAAATCGGTCCAACCACCCGTTACTTGCTTTAAAATTTCCTGATCGATCACCTAGTTCTTCAGCAACTTTTCTTGCATATTCTTGTAATACTGGACCAGATATAGGAATATTTTTGGTTCTTTGTGTAACAAACCATTCATAAACAGTATCATTGATCGTTTGACTAAAATCATCCTTCAACTTTCGTTTCATGTTTTTGTTTTGATTTGTTTCATAATCATTAATGTATTCGTTTTTTCTTTTGAGAATGTTTGATATAGCACCAAGAGATACTTAGAACTTGTCTTTTATTTCACGATGAGATAAACCACGTTCTTTTTCTTTGATAAGATTTATCTTTTGTTCTAGATCAAGTCCATTTTGCGATGTCATACTAAAATTAAGATGTAATGCAGCCAACAAAAATCACAAATAACATTTCTTTGTTTTTTCTTCTTTTCTCTCTATTGAATTACGGAACCAATCAGATGGGTAATAATAGCCGTCACGTCGTCGTAAAAATGATTTAATTACATAGCGTCCTCTATTTTTGTTCATAATAATGAGTGTGAAATATACAGTCGGGACCAGAAAAGAGCGTTCACATTCTGAATGACGGGGTGATCATACAGGAGGGGTCGAAAACCAACAAAATTCGCTCGGGGGGACTGGAGGGTGTTCGGTATAACAGGTTGATCACACAAGCAGGGTGTTCACTAATAGAAGTTTTACTGTATTTATGAAAGAAAATTCAGACCACTACACCTCCGCTCGAAAAAAGAAATCAATTGAATTTGGATAGATGGTTGAGTATTATCCAAGTAGCTATAAATATTATTTTAACTAGTGCTGAATAAATCTAAATGGTGATCGACATTGAACATGTATTCATTAATAAATCATCCATCCTCCAAATCCTGCTCCTAAAAAACTCAATTAAATTAAATAATTAGTTAAATGCATGATGGCCTCAAAGTTAGTTGTCCTAAATAAATAAATGTCTTTATTACGACTCGAGCAAACGAGCTGGCTTTTTTTCTGAATGATAGAAACATGCTCAATCCTTATAACTATAAAGGAATAGCTAGAGAGACTCTTTGTTAAATATATTGGCTTTTGGCCTATCTGTGAAATAAGAAAATTGTCTCTGTTGAGATCAATAATAATGCTTAACAAAGGGTCTCTTTAGGTATGTCTTTACGGATATAAAGTTTGAACATGTCTCTATCATTGATGAAAAAATTAGGGTAATCTTCATCTCAAATTTCGCAACCAAAATATTGATCTTGGGTCATGTTTTCAAGCGATTTTGGCTTGATTGATAAGATGTAACAACAAATTCAAATATAAATTGTTTTTTAAGTATTTTTTAATGAAAAGGTTCAGAAACAGCTTTTCAATAGATGTATGAAACTTTCGAACAAAATCAGTGTCTTTCACCAAGGAAAATTACGCCAATACGATTTTGAGTCTATAGTTTTGCGCACTACAGTAGGGATGATTGATTTCTCTTATCATTTTTTTTTCTTTTCCTTTATTATGTTTCTGTCCGTTCGCTGTTTCACGCGCTTTTACGGACAAATTCGTATTAGACCGCTTACCAACAGCATACCTGTTGTTTCGTAAATTTATTCAATAACTGCGACGCTATTTATAGGCTAGTTCACGGCATCGCTTAATGTTGCAATTGAACAGTATTTGTATAATAAATGTCTAAATACTCATGTAGGTACAATGAAAAATATCTGCTCTATATCGATTTTTTTTCGATTTAAAATCGACTAAAATGACAGGATTTTAATCCTACGTCACCATCACTGGTCACAAACTGACGGTTAACCCCAGCTATCACAAAAACCGATGTTTCAAGTAGTTTATCCTTTTAATAGCAGGTATAGTCCCTAACCCTAATTTGATCACGAATTTTTTTCTTTTTAGAAAAAAGTTCATAACTTCTCTACCCAATATTCGTTCGAAGTACTTTTTAGTTTCCGGGATAGAAAAAATATTTCTCTATCTTTCTGCCAATTTTTTTTTCAAAAATAAAATTTTGTTGATGAGCAGTAGTCATTGGAAAGAGA